TAGTAGTGGTAGTAGTAGTAGTGGTAGTAGCCGTGGTAAAGTGTAGTAGTAGTAGTAGTAGTAGTAGTAGTAGTAGTAGTAGTAGTAGTAGTAGTAACACAACTCCCTAGCACAACTCCCTGGCTCCCTGGTAGTACCACTTCATATCCATTGTACAGCTCCCTAGCGTATCTCCCTGGTACAACTCCTTAGTACAAGTGGTAGTAGTAGTAGTAGTAGTAGTTGTTGTAGTAGTAGTAGTAGTAGTAGTAGTAGTTGTGCAATTCCTTTGCTTTAACGCCCTAGTGCAAAACCCAAGTGCAAGTAGGAGATTCAGGGAAGTGTTCGGGGAGAGTCTCTTCGTCGTTTTTTTTCGAATGTGTTTGCCGCGCATCTCCCTGGTACAACTCCTTAGTACAAGTGGTAGTAGTAGTAGTAGTAGTAGTAGTAATAGTAGTAGTAGTAGTAGTAGTAGTAGTAGTAGTAGTAGTTGTGCAATTCCTTTTCTTTAACGCCCAAGTGCAAAACCCAAGTGCAAGTAGGAGATTCAGGGAAGTGTTCGGGGAGAATCTCTTCGTCGTTTGTTTTCGAATGTGTTTGCCGCCCGGGATGCCGTCGTCGTTGTTTTTTTTGTCCAGTTACCCTTTCTCTCGCGGGCCCCCGTCGCGAGTTTTGGCTTCCACCCCCCTAGCGTTGATGCCCCCATGCGTCGTCGACGTTGTTTTCTTGGCGTTGTCCCTGGTGATGTAGTGACCCCTATGATGTTTCCAGGCCAGCATGGCGACTGTTCTATTGCGATCAATGCAGAAGAGAGTGCGCGCCACGGGCGCGCGCGCGCGCGACGTTGGCTGTGCCAATTCACTGACAGGTGGTGAACCCATGTTCACTATAAAATAAAACCGGCCACCGCGGAGGCCTCACTTGAGTTTCCAAGCCAACATGGCGACCGTCCATTGCGGCCAATGCAGAACCGAGCGCGCGCCACGCGCGCGCGTGCGCGCGTCGTTGGCTGTGCCAATTCACTGGTAGATAGCGAACCCATGCTAACATTAAAATCTAATCGGTCACCGCTCAGGGCTCACTTGAGCTTCCCGGCCAACGTGGCGATTCTTATGGTGCGGCCGATACAGAAGTGAGCACGAGCCCCCTGTGCCAATTCTTCACAGATAAAACCCACCCTAACTTCAACATCCGATCGGTCACCGCTAAGGGCTCACTTGAGCTTCCAGTCCAACATTGCGACTGTTCTAGTGCGGCCAGTACAGAATAGAGCGCTCGCCACGCGCGCGCGTCGTTGGCTGCCGCTAAAGTCTCACTTGAGTCTCCAGACCAACGTGGCGCCTGTATTGCTGTCGATGCAGAACTGAGCTCGCGCCACGCGCGCGCGTCAGTTGATGTGCCAATCCAGTGATAAGTGGTGGGCGCATGTTCATTTCGAAATTCAACCGGTCAGCGCTACGGGCTCACTTGATTTTCCATGCCAAAATGGCGACTGCTCTATTGCGGTGAATACAGAACTGAGCACGCGCCACGCGCGCGCGCACGCCGCTGGCGGCGCAAATTCACTGGTAAGTGACAAACGCAGGTTAACTTCAAAATCCAATCGGCCACCGCTAAAGGCTCACGTGAGTTTCCTAGACAAAATGGCGACTATTCTGTTGCGGTCAATACAGAACTGACACCTTGTCAAGCGCGCGTACGCGCGCCGTTGGTTGTGCCAAGGCACTGATAGTTTGCGCGCCCAGGTTCGCTTCAAAATCCAATCGGTCACCGCTAAGGGCCCACTTGAGGTTCCAGGCCCAAATGGCCACTGTTCTATTGCGGCCAATACAAGAACCGATCACGCGCCACGCGCGCGTACGCGCGTCGTTGGCTGTGCCAATTCACTGATGGGTGGTGAACCCATGTTCACTTCAAAATCAAATCGGTCCCCGCTAAGGGCTCACTTGAGTCTCCAGGCCAACATTGCCACGGTTCTTTGACGAACCACAGAACTGAGCTCGCGCGTGCGCGCACGCGTCGTTGGCTGTGCCCATTCACTGACACGCGGTGGAGCCATGTTAACCAATCGGCTACCGCTAAGGGCTCACTTCAGCCTCCTGGCCACATGGTGACTGTTCTATTGCGCTCAATGCAGAACTGAGCACGCGACGCGCGCGTCGTTGGCTGTGCTAAGTCGCTGATAAGCGGTGAACCAGTGTCAACCTCGAAATCCAATCGGTCACCGCTAAGGGCTCACTTGCGTTTCCAGGCCAACATGGCGACTGTTCTACTGCGGTCAAGCCAGAACTGATCACGCGCACCGCGCGCGTGCGCGCGCGTACTCGCGTCGCTGGCTGTGCCAATTCACTGATCGGTGGCGAATCCATGTGAACTTCACAACCCAAACGGTCACCGCCAAGGGCTGGCTTGATTTTCCAGGCCATCATGGCAAGTGTTCTACTGCGGCCAATACAAAACTAAGCACGCGCCACGCGCGCACGCGTCGTTGGCTGTGCCAATGCACAGATAGGTGGTGAACCCATCATCACTTCAAAATCCAATCGGTCACCGCTGAGGGCTCATTTG